CAATGTGCCTTTTGGTCGTATGACCATAAGACAGAAAAGAAAGCTATACTAAAAAAAGACACAACGATATATCACTTAAAAGTCTTGTTCGCTGCAGATGAAGGGGCGTGTCAGGCGGGATGAGAATGGCGCTGCGTCAAACCCATCCTCCCCCCGCTGCTGAAGTGTCGACAACGATTGATAGAAAGACTGATAGGATCGCTATGATACTGTTTTCTCGCTTGTTCGCTACAACAGTTGGTGGAAAATATGGCGCAGCGCTAAATCCTTACCGCCTGAAACGCCCTTCATTCGCAGCGACCAAGACTACATCTACGACTGTATCATTAAAACTGCTGATCTATCCGCTCAGCTGACCACATTCCAGATTAAGGGCTGCTTGTGAAGCCAGCCAAAAACACATTTAAGCTTTCTACTCTTTGAATGCTACAGGTCTTAAGCCTTCTGCCATTTTTTAGGCCAAGTTGATGTCATTATGAACGCAACGACTAATTTTGTTGGCGCCTATCCTGCACTGCTCCACTCTCTGGAGTTTCGGTTTAAACTTGGCAGAACTTTCCCACGGAATTTTTGACCTCTTCGGCATAAACATCAATATCCACTCAAACCGCTTGCGCACCGTGTAACAAGCGCCGGTGTGAACACACTTTGAACGGCAAATTGGCTGAAAACGTGCTCTCAGCAGTTTGACCCTTTTCAGGGCTAATATCATAGTCATTTCGCGTAAAAATATCACTGCTTCATGCACCCTGATCGTATTAAGGGCCTCAGTTGCTTTCGCGCCAGATAAACCCAATATGTCATCTCATTTTCATTGGTGCATGATGGAGCTCATAGATGATAAGAGTGACAATTACTTTCTTTGGCCTATTCAAAAAAACGGAAGAAATTCAAGCAAAAAGGCAAGATCAACTCACTAATATTGATGTCATCTTCTTCATCATCCTCGAAGACCCTCCTCTTTTCGCTGAACGATCCGCGTGCACCTCTTCCCGATCCCCGGAAGTCTGACGAACCTCGACCACCTCGTGGTGTGAAACCCCTTTGGTTTCCACGAGGAGTGAAACCACCTCGGCCACCGTGTGGACTGCCACCTTGACGAGGAGTGAAATTACCACGACCACCACGTGGACTGAAACCTTCGCGAGGACTGAAATTACCACGACCACCGCGCGGAGTGAAATTTCCTCGCCCTCGAGAGTTCTGTGATACAGGACCACCTCTATTTCCAGAAAAACCTCGACCACGATCACCGCCTGAAAAAGGAAAATTAAGTCAGGGTAGACGAACAACAATGCAGCAGCCTCACCGCCACCTCTTCTATTGTCCGGTGAGTTGAATCCACGACCACCTCCACCACCGCGGCCTACAATTTTTGATTTCAGATATGATACCACTTATAATATGAGTTGTTCATGCATCAAACACCTTTCTTACCTCTGAAACCGCCGCCAGGTGAACCTCCTCTTGGTTTGAAACCTCCACTGTTGAAACCACCTCGACCTGTAAAATAAATTGCGGTGATAAGCAGTATGTTTGTGAAAAAGAACAACAATGGTGATGAAACAAGCAACTTATGACGTCTGTCGCTGTTCTTTTGGGAAATATTTGAAACAAGAACTAACCTCCTCCACGACCTCTTGCTGGACTGTCATAACCCATAGTTCCTGAAAATGAAAATCAGTAATGCAGATGGAGTAGGACCAAGTTTCATCGGAAGGCAAGCTGTTCAGAAGGAAGAAAAATCAGAGCTATATTGTCTACAGTTTTCGTAGTCGTGACCAAGACTAAGAGTATCCCCATAGATGAAACTGCATTCCTTTGGAAACGTTCCGAGAATGAACAACGCCACTGTGAAACATCCAAGCATCCTCACAACACTGGATTGAAAAATGTTTTGGCATTGCACAGACTCAGTCTTATCTCCCCACCCAGCTTAATCAGTACTCCACCAAGCTTTTGCGCACCAACTGGTAACCTTCCCATTTTTCTTTTGGAGACTAGCACCTCACCTAGACAAAACTAGCAAGCATTCACAAGAAGAAAGGAAGTGAAAAAAGAAACAAATTCGAAAATGTGACGCCAGGCCTAATCTTTGATACAATCATTCTCTACCGTCAACAAATGATCGTTGCAGGACCGCAGCCCTCAAGATCGCTATCCAAAACCCACTGAGAGCCGGTGCAATGACGTACTTTAGGCGGCCACCGTAGCTCACGCCTAATTCCTGATTTGGTTCCACGTAGTTACCCTCTCATAATCAGCGCATTACACAACTACGGGGCTCGTGATGAGAGTACGTTTGTCGGCACATATCACACCCAAACCAGGTGCCATGGGGCTTTTAGTGCTGTAAGCTATAGACTTCAGAAAGATCAATTTATTTGTATTGCTTCCACGAATCGCCGAAATGGGAGTGTTGACAAGAAAAGACTACATGTAAGTACGTTATATAGGTACACTCTGTTGCGCTTTGGGACATGTAATAGGAGAAGGGCGGAACCATAGAAGTCCCGGACGGGGGGGGGTCCGCGAGGATCACGTAATCGGTGCTAACGTATTTGGGGGGGACCACGCGGCTCGCGGCGAGTGATGACTCATCGGCTCTTCACTAATAGGCATACTTGAAGCGCCATTCAGCGGCCAAATGGAAATAAAACAAACAAGATACACCGGGAATTTGCTAAGAAACCCCACAGAAGCTGAAAACAAGTGTTTGATTTGTCAACAATAACAGTAAACAACAAGCAGGCAGCAATCTTTTGCAGTAGAACCTTCCAGCCTACAATTTTTTCCTCACACTTTTCAGCGTTGACTATTTTAACAATTGAATATAGCTAAGATGGTGTTATATCCTCGTCCTAAATAAAAAATTACTTCTATTTTGCCGAGGAGGAGGCAGAAGAGTCGATGGGTCATCACTCGCCGCGAGCCGCGTGGTCCCCCCCCAAATACGTTAGCACCCACGTAATCGGTTTTGTTAGACTGTTCCAAGTTGAGAGCGGTGCCCATAAGCGCATTTCTCCAGCTCGCCGCTGTTTATGAATAAGGCCAAGGGGCTAGCATGGAACAAAATCAGGCGTAAGATTCTGTACCAACCTGTGGTACGTAATTACACTACGCGCCATAGGTGTTTTTCCACAACACCGTTTTAACGTCAAATCTGCTGAATTTATACTCTACATTTTCAAATCAGGAATGGAATCGGTCTACGCAGGATATGTAGCACTTGCTTCATATGCAATTTTCTCTTTTGCTGTTTCATCGGTATCGCTGTATAAATACTGGTTCATGAATTTACCATTGAACATGCTTGACAGTTACGGAAATGATATCATGCTGTTCGCTTGAGAGATTTCATCGCATCTTGAAATACAGCAAAGATGCGATTCAAACGTTCCGGCTTCTCCTCTCACAGCTGTGTTGACACATTTGATGACATCAGTGCGAAGGGGTATTGCTAGAGCACTGTTCACGGTCTGCGACCCTGACGAAACGGCGGTTGGGAGAAAAGCAAAAAATAGTCATCGATCGGAGAATCGCCAACCGCTAGTTTCGCCGAACCGCCGCGGTTCGGCGGTTGGGCGAAAAGCAATAGATGCGTATCGATTTCGCTGGCGAAAAACGCCAGGGCGATCGAGCTAGCGTTTCGTCGAAGGCGAAAAACGTCGCGGTTTGGCGAAACGCCCGTCGATTCGTATCAAAACCCTTTCGCCCAACCGCCAGACTCTTCGCCCAACCGCCAGTCGATACGTATCGAAAGCTTTTCGCCGAACCGCCGCGTTCCAGAGAAACGCTGGACCGCAGACTGTGAACAATGCCTAAACATCGTCCCAAATCCTCCTGCGGAACCGCTTGATTCAAATCTGCTTCCTGTTATTTGCCCACCTAATTTGTTTCTCATTTATTCTTTGAAATTCTTTTCAGCAGATTTGAAGTCAGCATTTTATGGGTCTAGTATTGGATGAGCGCTGCAACCTACAATCTCTTCATTGTGAGACGTGGAATCATGAGTCGCTTTTATCCAGTGCAAAAGAGATCAAAAATGACCTTGTTTCGTTGCTCTCAACTTCTTTTGTCGCACTGAGATCGGTCGAAGTTGATGTTGACGAGTCTATATCCATACGTTCTGGCAACCGGCAGTTGGCTTTAATCGTGTAGTAGTAATAGTTAATTCTTAGCTGGCCTAGATTTTTCGGCATTAACCGAACTGGCGCTATTTTAATATAGTGAGGCTCATTTACGCAGAGCACCGAAGGGTTTCAAAATTAGGATAGACAGCTTCTTTGGTTCAAAAGCCCAGGAAAAGTAATACCCACTTGAGTTCTAGGAAGCAAAAACCCTTCTTGCATGAAGGATTCAAACTTCTTGCTACAGGGCTTCATCTTCTGTGCTGAGAAAAAAGCCCTAGTTCCTCTGGCTCCTAGAGCACGTGCTACTGCATGATCGCGCGATCCAATCAAGCGATCCAATCGCGGGACCGCAAAGTATGAATGTGTTCTATAGGTTCCGCCGCTAACGTATATGGAGATGGGGACCATTGTGCGGCATCTCTGCGTTTCCTCCCCAACCAAGACTTAGATTCAGAGCACAGACGGTCAGAATCAGTCCATTCGATTCCCCTAAGCTTAATTCTTGGGCAGGAAAGAGACGGAAGGCGCTGTGAGGGTATCCAACCCCTTTTCCCTCTCGCGCCAAATACGCGTCAAGGTATCTCCGCACCTTGGAGCACGCCCAACAATTAAAAAAAATCGCAGGATATCTCATCCCGTAGCCTTCCGTAGCTTAAAAAACTCCTTGTACAGAATTGAGGTCAAATTGATATTAGGTTGTCTGGAAGTTTCGAAAAAAATCCCACACTTTTTGTTTGAAGAATTGTAGCAAGCGAATGCCCCAACATGTATTTGTTAGAGGTGTTAGGGCGGAGGGTGGTTCACCGTTTTAGGTGGATGACCACCCCGGAATGAAGCGGACGACTGAGATGGAAGAAGGAAGAATAAGTGATCTAGATGAGACATGGCTATAAAAGAGTGTTCTCAATAAACATTCCTTCCGCTCGATCGACTCTACTCGACAACTGGCGATCAGGATGAGATGCCCCAGAAGATCGATGATGAATGCCGCCGGATCGTGGATTCAAGTGGTACCATGGAGCCCTCAATCGACGACCTCGACGACAGCAGCGGTGGTGCCGGCGGTCAACCCGGTGGGAAGTGGGTGTCCGAGTGCACCTGCTGTGGTGTTTCTTGGTCCCCCGCCCACCGGGAACCCCACTGATGACGACTTGGAGTACTCCCCCTGCGACGGCAGGATCCTCGCCCACTGTTGTGGTGATGGCGCCCGTAAGTCGCATGGTTTTCGGCGGAGTGTTGGGTGTAGTAGAAGAGAGTTACTTCAGGCCGGGCGCACTATGGGTCGGCGTACACCCCGTTCGTGGGCGTACGCCCGGCGTGGCCGAAATCGGAGATGGCCGGAGCGAGGGCCCTATTTCCCGCCCCGCGCTATGAAACGGCCTCTGGCGCTGGGACGCCTCCCAGAAGGGGGCGCAGGAAGTTGATGTGGTCGATGACCGAAGAGAGGCGCGACCTAATGGAGAAGCCTCCGAAGCTGGGCACTGAATTTTGAATAGATCTTTTCTTTGGGTGTATTAAGAAATAAAGAGTTTGGAAACAGATCAGTTGGTGTTTGGGGTCACTCTGGGCAGTAGAGTGACCAGGCGGTCACTACGGAGGGGGCATGTTAGGGCGGCGGGGGTGGGGGGGGGGGTCCCCAAGGGGGGGGGGGGGGGGGGGGGGGGGGGGGGGGGGGGGGGGGGGGGGGGGGGGGGGGGGGGGGGGGGGGGGGGGGGGGGGGGGGGGGGGGGGGGGGGGGGGGGGGGGGGGGGGGGGGGGGGGGGGGGGGGGGGGGGGGGGGGGTGGTTCACCTTTTAGGTGGGTGACCACCCCGGAATGAAGCGGACGACTGAGATGGAAGAAGGGAAGATGGTGATAAGTGATATAGATGATACATGGCTATAAAAGAGTGGTTGTTCTCAATAAACATTCCTTCCGCTCGATTGACTCTACTCGACAACTGTATTAAGTGCTATGAGAAAGAGAAATGTTTATAGATCAATTCTAATGCTAGCTAGTGTTATAATCCATTGTCGGTATGAGTTTGCATCATCTGAAAAATGTAGGGGTCGCACTTACCGACTTTCCCAACGCCTTTTATTCATCTTCACGGTTCGCCTCTCTATCGGCACGTCTAGGGAATGATGCTAACGCCGCCGATGCTGAGTAACATAATTTTCAGGAGCTTGTTTACTCGCCGGGGGCATTCTGCTTTTCATAGATTTGCCATCCCATATAGGTACCATTTTTTTCGAAGTTGACACGTTTTAGGATGGTGGCTAGACGATCTTGCTCCAGTTTCACAAGTTTTACCAGAGTGAGATTTGTAAACCGGAACCAGGGAAGCAATTATCAATACAAAATGCCCCCCCCCCCCACCGTCGATAAACAGCGCCGAAGCTTCAAACCATCTGTGAGAAAATCAATGCGCCTCTATATGAAGTTTAGCTTGCATAGGCCGCGTTCATAGCTTGCGACCATGAAGAAATGCGGAATGACGAAAAGCATTAAATACATATCGATTTGAAGAAATGCAGAAATGCGGAAACTGCAGAAGTGCGGAAAGTGCAGAAATGATAAAAAAATCATTAGATACATATCGATTTGAATGCAGAAATGCCGAAACTGCAGAAGTGTGAAATCTGCAGCAATGACGAAAAGCAAACAAGCAACCGATCACATTTTTCCGCATTTCGCATTTCGTGGCTTTCTTCATATCGATACGTCATGTATACTCATTGTCATTTCTTTTCCACTTCTTCATTTCTTCACGGTCGCAAACTATGAACGCGGCCATACGCCCCCGCATTCTCGGTATTCACTTCACTCTAGCTTCCACGCAATGTAACGCCAAATATTGAGGGAAATGGGATGGACAGTGTTTATTATGACTGTAAGTTCCTACCTCTTATTGTTGTTAGTAACTACTGAATGAGCTGGTTGAAATTTCTCAAAACTTTCCGGCCACCCCAATAGTATGAATTGAGGCGTAATTCACAAGCTCCGTGTGTTCTGTTTTGCCTATACGCTAGTGTCGCAAACTATGAACGCCGTCTAACACCTCTTTCTGTTCTCACGTTGCACTGAAAAATATTTGTGAAAACAGTTGCATGGTTGCCAGCGAATGGATTGTCTTTGATTGACAATTGATCGATTCTCATGTAATTAAACTGCCCATTTCTCGCTCTCTTTTGTGGTGCGCTTTGTTTGTTCACCTATGATGCCTAGTTGGATTCGCTGTTTCATTTGATTCTGACCAAAGATTCAGCCAATGTGTCCCTTTCTCCAATTTTGTTCTGTTTCATAGGATTTCCAGTCCAATTTGGATTGATAAGATTTTTCCACGGTCTGTCAGACCTGCAGTGGTGCTTCCTGAGCGATAAATCCTTCCATTGCCCGTGGTACTCTTCTTATACTACGCCTCCTTTTGAGAAGTGAAAATCCTTTTTCCAGATTGGGGATGAACATACGTTGTGCTCGACCGGAAGATTTGATAAACACGCAGCATGCAAATCTTTTATGCCTCCCAGAAAATTATCAGATGAAATATTATTTCTATCATGCGTTGTCCTGGCCACAACTCTCGTATGTGGCAGAGGATCATAAGGTGAGATCTATTTTGTATATTTAATTTACTAAGGAGATACATCATAATGTGTATCACCTCTATTGACTGTTTTTACGGTCCGGTCTTGAGTGATCCTTGAGAAACTGGTGAAAAAAAAACTCGACATTGTATTGTGCTTTGGCCAGTTAGTTCCCCATTAATGGCACGCCATGTTCATTTGATATTCGTGCGCTTTCTCGGATATGGTAACCCTCCCTGCAAAGATGGAGAATGCACTAATTTTGCAGGTCAGATCACATGAGGAAGGCGCGACCCGCTCGCGACGGAACCAAAGCTCCGCCCACTGGCCACGGCGACGCCTAACTTTCATTTCTAAGTGTTACCTGATGTGCGGTTGTTCCGATACTGAGTCCCCCCATATGGAATAGTGAGAGTGAGGTGGTAAAAAGGAGCAGCTGAAAGTGACTAGTTAGAACTAAATAAAAAATAAATAAACTCCCTCGACAACGCCATTTCTTTGTCTTATGCACATGCAAGTCTGGCTCAGCATGGGGTTCTGTAGGGCATTTCCAACAGGTGTTTTCCGCTTTTTTTTAACTTCTGTACTGCGCTGCCATTAGTATTCAGCACAGTAGTTGAAAAAAGGCGGAAAACACCCGCCGGAAATGCTCTGTAAAACCCCATGCTGAACCAGACTGACATTAGTATTTGAGCAGCACAAATTCTTATTTTTGAGCCCGGGGCGTGACTTTACGACCGGATTAAGAACCTCTTTCGGGTTCACTCTGCAAAATGTTGGACCTCCGATGCTTTGGAAAGTATCCGTCAAGGAAAACCACCTTTCCTTTCATGAATTTCTAGCGTTTTTCTATAGCATGTTTATAGTGTCTTTGTATAGCGTATCTTTCTAGTAGAGCAGATTTCTCGCTTGTAAATCACCGGATAGGGTTTTTGTTGAAAAACTCATCTCCTTTTCTATACCCTCATACCTATAGACCCTCTTGGCTTTGAACAGCGCTTAAAAAGTAATTTCATCTGAAAATCACCATACAAATACTCAACCCATTATTGTAAGCTTCTGTTACCCTCAACAGGCTAAGGTTTCAGTAGAAGTGCTTCGGTCAGACTGAGAGGATCAAAACATTTCACGATCTGTGTCAGAGGTGTTGTTAACACAAGGCCCACAAAATTGTAGGTTTTTTTTTCGTCGTGCCACTTCTGGAAATGCTAAGGAGGGGTGGAAAATAGTTATACATTTCGCAGTCAGGCGATAGGTACTATTTTGTTTTTTGGATAAAAGTTCGTTCAATTCTGTAATTTTGAACGCCTTATTGTGCAGACAGGAGGGCTCCAGCTCATAGGAACACCAAAAAATAAAAATTGCAGGCGTGCAAAACTTCGCCACATAGGGAGATTCGAATTTTCAGAGCCTAGTTATATCTTTGGCTTTCCCAGAAGTGCACAGCTGAAACGTACTACGCTTTAGTTGTTCCCGCATGAACGTCCACAATATGTTTCGAAAATGGCCTTCACAATCTAAGTGACCCCCCCCCCCCCTAATGTCAGGCAAATGTAAGAATGTTATTTTTGTTTGTAGGGCAATGTGGTAGGATATGTTCTAGCGAAAATGGAGGAAGATCCCGATGAGGAGCCACATGGGCACATCACTTCGCTCGCTGTTAAACGATCATATAGAAGACTTGGTATTAACTTTTCGTTTATACTATTATAGTGTTTTCTATTATGTCTTGATTTGCATTGTCATTCCGTTTCCTTCAGTGTCTCCTTTTAGGTCTTGCTCAGAAACTTATGGATCAGACAGCCAGAGCAATGATAGAAACGTTCAATGCACGATATGTTTCACTTACATCGTGAGGCTGTGAGTAACAGAGCTGTGCATTGAATCTTTATCAGAACACTTTGAAATTCACAGCCAGTGAAGTGGAACCGAAGTGAAGTTCTTTTGAACTTTTCGTCGCACTTTATTCTGATTTTTCGTAATTTTCGAAAAAGTAGCGATACTTATTGAATGGTACTACGCGGACGGTGAAGACGCTTATGCAATGAAACGATGTTTGGTTCAGTTTGCCACTGAAAATAACATCGAACCAGCTGATAAGGAAACCTTCTTTGCCGTGAAGTCAAACGATGAGAAGAAAAAGAGTAGGCAATGAGAAACACGAGTTCAGTTCATGTCGATCTCTTCGTTCCATCGGCTGTTTCATCATGTCAATGTTTTTTGATGATGAGTTGTTTGTGAGTCGTTGTTGTTACTGCCTTTTCGTAATAATGTACTAGTCGACAAAGTTCCAGATGAATAATTTTAATTTATTTAGTGTGTCGATTTATGTGTTACTTCAGTATGATATCTTCTTTTTTTAATCCGCTGTTTTGGCGACTATACATTCCTTACAGAAGGGGACGGGCAAGCTAGAGGCTAGGGCCACCTGTAGGACGGTCGGCTCCAACGTATAGGTGTGCATTTCACCATGGCTGCAGGTTCCATGCCTCCGTACGAATCATTCGAAAACCCTATCCCACTGGAGAATGAGTGAGCCCTGACTTCTACATCATATATAAAACATGTGAGAAAAATTCCTTCAGTCTTCGCAAACGCAGTCTGGTATTTATTCAATCCTGCCTCATTGCTCCTGATGCCAGGAGCCGCGCATCGAGGGAAATCGCGCCGTGGAGTCTAGTTATTTATTTGCCTGCTTCTCAGGTAAGTATTATGTTCTGAGAAAGTAACCGTTACATGTTAAGTTAGAATACATGTGTAGCTCTTTTCATTAAAGGTCGCAGGCTGCGTTCATACTCTTAGTAGGCGTTTCGGACGTAAAAGCAAGTTTAAGTATTGTTAGGAACGCTGTCGTTACTTCCAAAGCACTAGATCGATACCCACACTTTTCTCGAAACGTTCGACGAGAAGTGAACTTAGCTTCGCTGAGACTTCTTCATACTGTTTCTCTTGTTAACAACATACCCGTTCTTTTTCCGAGGTTTTATTGCGATTGCTGATATTCAGGAGGCTATTGGTGAATCGAACTCCGTGTTGGAGTCGTAAGAGAGTAGCATAACAGTATTATTCTGGTATATCTTTTATGGAATCTAATCACGGAGTTTCTATTTTTCAATCCTGAATTTGGGCTGCAGCAATGACTTTTTCGCCTAAATGCTTCTTTAGAGCTCTCTTTTTAGGTTGTCTTTCCTTTTTCCATTGCTGGTGTTGGAATGGTGTTTGCGGGAGTTGTTCTCGATTTGGTGCAACACTGGCGGCTCTTCAAAGAAGTTCCCGAAATTTTCATACTAGTTCCCGCTCTTTTAGGTCTGAAAGGAAATCTGGAAATGACTTTAGCAAGCCGGCTGTCAACGCTGGTGCGTAAAACATTCCATAAGTGTTTATGTAAATAGAATTTCTTCTCCTTACTCAATACTTCTTATATCGGCTCGGAACCCCATTTCTGTCTCCGATTTACCATTTGTCCTTGAGTTTCGTCTCTTTGCAACTTTAGTTTGGTTCATTAAAGTCGTGGGATTCCATGCTCACTAATGTCCTTTCTGAATCATAGTTTATAAATAACAGGGTTGAATGTCTGTTCATGTTGGGTCATTTGTAGGCCAACCTTGGGCACTTGGATTCGCCATCGCAACGGAGAGAAGTGGTAACTGCAAACTTAGCTTTGATACAAGTTCAGGCTACTGCTATTGCATTTCTAGCATCAGCGTTTGCCATGGCTCTTGCGTGGATCCCTCGTGGACAGGTACTTTTCGTTGAAATATCTTTTAGTAAGCAGGCTTATTTCCCATACCTACTGCTTTCTTGATTCAAATATGTGTTCAATCGCACAAGTGCTTTTTTCTTTCTTTCTCTTTTTAAGTCAATCAGTTCTAAAAGTTCTATTAACTTTTGAAAGGATAGGTCTTCTATTTTTTTAGCTTGACTGGTCTCACGCAGCGCTACTCTGCGCCTCATCGCTAGCCACAGCGTGTGTCGCTTCGCTTATTCTGAGTATTGTTATGGCTTTGGTCGTCGTATTTTCCAGAAAATACAATATTAATCCAGACAACGTTGCCACACCCATTGCTGCTTCCCTTGGTACTTTTTTTGTTCCTCTAATGAGCTGGAAGATTTTTTGTTTTCTAGGTGATCTGACGACCTTGGCTGTTTTATCAATGTTTGGAAGCGTATTTCTTGAGGCTCATCTAACGGAGTCATGGCTCAACCTAACTATTATTATAGCGATTTTATTAATAGCTCCTATTTGGATTCGACTCGCACTTCGTGATGAAGGGGCAAAAGAGGTATTCACATGCTCTTATTCCCAGTCTGTTCAAGTTTTTCGTTTTGTTTTCTAATGTCACAGGTATCCGGCCGCTAACTGCCATCTGTCCATTATTTCAAAGCGGCATTAGAAAGTAGTTATTATTGAAACATCTCCCAAAATCGTAAACCTTCGTCCTCGCGGTTCATTGCCAATAGATAACGATTACGTCTGACCGGCTCACCATGTTGAACGTGTGAATGCTGTGAGATTTGGCATGAAACCTTCAACCTGAGAGGGTGACGCAGCCCTAGTGGGTAACGGATAGCGCACTCGTCGGAAAGGGTGAGCGCGGGCTCGAGTCCTGCCTGGGGTCAACAGTTTTGCCCATAACTCAGCATTTTTCTGATGATCCCTATCACATCGTATTATATTTCGCTAATGTAATGTCGTGCCATTTGCGTCAGTATTGGGATAACCCATTTTTGTATAGCTTTAGATTTCCTCTTCAGTTTGCTTTTAATAGTTCCTTTGCTCACGGCTTTGTCCTGACCGTCTAAATATCTTCGTATCGTCTCCTCAGCCCTTTCCCTGCTCTTATCTTACCTTCATCCATACATTCTTTGGTAGTCGTTGTTATCGCCAACGGTTGCTTGTCCCTTCCTAATCTTTTTTTTGCGTTCGTCGGTTCTTCGTTCTTCTTGTTAGATTGCTCTGCTGCCTCTCACCATGTTATGTTTCTTGCACATGTTTTTACGGAAAGAATGAATCTGCTATAATCGTTCCCTGTTCTCCTTTTTGCTTTTTCTCGTTTCCTTTCTCAAGTTTTATGATATCTCTAAGGAGCTTCGTAAGCAAAATGTAAGTGATGCGTAAGGAGAGAGGAGTACACAGTAATTCCGAGTGTGGCTTTCCAACGTTGAATGTGGGAAGCTGAAAATGACAGTTTCCTTTGCGTATAAGAGTAGTGATAATCAACCGTGTTCCAAAGTGGAGAAGAGGGCAACAATGCTCGCGAGGTGTTGAGTTAGTTGGAATGTAACGAGAGTTTTCAGGTGTTATTCAATGGGTGGTCTCCGATTATTTTCTCTATGCTAATGAGCAGTGGTGGCGGTTTCATTTTAGAGAATGCTGTGCGCCAATATCCTAATGTTGCTATATTCCAACCAGTGATCAACGGTAGGCTAAACCGGTTAAATCTCATTTGAGCTTTTGTGAACGTTTTGGTATTTCAGGCGTAGGCGGCAACTTAGCTGCTGTTCAAGCGAGCCGACTTTCGACATTTTTCCATCAAACAGGATCTCTTGGCCAGCTTCCCTTTGAGTGGACTATTCAACGTTTCTACAGTGCCAAGCGTGCCTTTTTCAGTAAAGGTTAGTTGACCGCTCCCAACTTTTGATGGCTTCTTGCAGGTGCAACGCATGTTCCCCCAAGTCTCATGGAAACCCGTTAATCGGAACCCTGTTCCTCTTTCGTACCCCTCAGATTTCCTCGATACTTTATTCACGAGAAAATGCAAAGTGAGGAGAACCGGGAAAGGTTACGTAAATCTAGTAGGTTTTTTTCGAAGAAGTTCAGGGGTAGTGCGATATTAGGAAGAAAACAAGTTTTTAACGTATCCAACACTGTAAAGTTGCGATTCAATGGTGTTGCAGAACTTACTGAGTGTTGGTCTGCGTCTCAATGAATTAATTACGTCTACAGGATTCCCAACGGGGCTGTAGGGTAGTGGTACATACTCGTCCGCGCTGTCTTCAGGATGCAGCGTTTGCCTTGATGCCAAGGCCTCGCAACAAGACATATCCTCAGGGAGGAGAACAATCGGTGGTGAGGGATCGCAGACAAGTAGCGCGTCTCGATATGGCTAGGTGCCTGACTGGCCGTGCAGCAGCGTGAGACGGACTGTGGAATAGTTGTATCACTACCCTCCACCCGTTCCTTTGCGTTTTTGGTCGGAGAAAGTGATACGCTACTGCAGCTTTCTTACTAGCTGAAAACATTTTTTGGATCTTAAAACGCTTGTTTTTGCCCATTTTTTTTTGCAAAAAATTGACAGGCTGTTATCTTAAGAATTCTAGATAAGTTCAGCAGGCCCATCTAGCTAATCTAGTCAGAATAATCCACATTATCATATGCAAAACTGTTCAGATTCGGATTCACGATCTGCTCGTGTTCTTCTTTTCCTTGTTGTGCCTGGACATATTGCCTTCAATTGGCTCATTCGCGTTTTTCACTTTGGTTCCATTGTGCCACCACATGGAGCTCTATTCACAAGCCTTTACCTCATAGCTGCTTTAACTCAGGTTAGTACCTCGTTTTGGTCAAACCATTGAGGGAGCAACACCTTCCGTCACATTCAAAATGTTTCACCGGTTCTTCAGGATTCTGAGAAACTGACTTTTGTATACGATTTTTGAGCTCCTTTGAATAAATGCAAAGGGTAGAAATGGGGGAAGTACTTGTAAATAGAAAAGTTAATGGTCATACGCTAGGCAAAACTGGTTTGAATCATATCGATTTGGTGTTACAAAGGTGTTCCGGTGTAATGTAAAGAATGATATGGAACAAGAGATTGAGAATCATAAA